AGTTTCATAGACAAAGTTCATGGTGAAGACAAGGTCAAAGGGATGAGGACAAGGAGGAGGACAAAGGCGAAGAGGAAGACTACTAAGGAGGAAGGCGAAGGAGAAGCAGATTATGATGAGACCGGGGATAGTCGAAGGGAGAGTTATGATAAGATAGCGCGAAGGGAAGCGAGATCATGATCCGAAAGGGAAGGAAAAAGATCATGCTACTACGACCAATGAAGGCCAGCACCCCCCCCCTCACCTACGGCAACCACCACGACCTCCTCCTCCTCCTCCTCCTCCTCCTCCTCCTCCTCCTCCTCCTCCTCCTCCTCCTCCTCCTCCTCCTCCTCCTCCTCCTCCTCCTCCTCCTCCTCCTCCTCCATCAAAGACTCTGTCCTCTTACCTCCTCTGAGCTCTCCTGCTGGGATCCTCCATCTCTTCACTCACCCTCCCCAGTGACTTAGTCCTGCCCTTTCCTCCTTGCTCCTCCTTTGCATTTCTCCCCTCACTGTCCTCCGCGCCCTCTTGTTCGCAGCCGCTGAGCATGAGGGGCAGGTGATGATCGAGAAGCTGCGAGCGGAGTTGGACTGGAGCATGAGGAATGAAAGCCAAGAGCAGAGGAGGATGAAAACTCTCCTCGCTGTGGTTGGATCCAAGACTGTTCGTCCCCTCTGTTTTGACGAGACTGCAGGCGGAGGAGAAGAGGAGGAGGACGGAGGCTCAGCTCGAGGAGGTCGTGCTGCTGCTGCTGAGAGGAAGGATGACTAATCCTTCTCCAGATCCTCCGCTATCTTCGTCGTAGCAAACAGGATGTGGACTCAGGAAAGGCAGAGGCGATGAGCGTGTTGAAGAGGATAGAGGTATGTACTTCCTCCTCTCTCCCCGCTCTTCCCTTCCTCCCACCTCGTCCTCCTCCTTTTTTCGTGACCTCCTGCTCGCACAGGGCATGATGCACGAGGAGACCAACAAGGTCAAGCAGCTGATGGAGGTTCGATAGCCTTCGGGCAGAGAGGAGAGCAGAGGAGGGGAAGGGAGGGGAGGGGAGGGGAGGAGAGGAGAGGAGAGGAGGAGGTAAGACAACTCAGGTCAAGTCGGAGATCGGCAAGATGCACAAGGAAGCGAACATGTACGACGTGCTTATCAACAACATCGAGAGAGCAACAAATCCGCAAGGTCAGCACTTGACGAACATGCCTTCTCCTGACCTTCTTCCCACACTCTCCCTGCTCCTTACAAGACCACAGGCGAAATACCTTCAGTGTACGATAAGGACAAGCAATGGCCTCTGTCCTTTCAAGATCCTCCGGGCGGTCGCCTCCCCTTCCTCCCTGCTTTCCCGCACGTAGTTCATCGCCAGCCGCCGTATCCTCCTCCTCAACCACAGGTTCTTCAAGTCCCTCCAGGACGATACGCAGGAGGAAGAGCTGTTTATTGATTCTAGCAGAGCTTGTTCGAATATGTACATTCATGATGATGCTGTAAATCACACCGAGAAGATTCTTTGAGCGTGTGTATAAGAGAGAGAGGAGGGAATCAGACGCGTTGTCTCTTCTTCTCTTTCTTCTCTTTCTTGTCTTTCTTGTCTTTCTTGTCCTTCTTGTCTTTCTTCTTCCGTTTCTACAGATAAAACTCAGAAGATGGAGATACATGTCGCTGAACTAACAAACACCTTATCAGCCTTGTCTGCTAGATCTCTGTGGTTGGTACCGCGAGCAAGCTGACGAAGGTCCATCAGGGCAGCAATGAAGCATCTTAGCATGCAGATTTACCTTCTCGTTCCTCTCTTGGTCTAGCTGCCTTCTATACTCCGCGGTCTCTTCGTCCATTCCCTGCTCCAGCCTCGACTCGAACTGTTTCTTATGCTTCTCCTTATATTCTTCCCACGTCAGCCTCTGTGTGGGGGTCGCGAGGTACTGCCAGCATGAGTTACTCCCGTGCACCCGCCACCTCTCAGATCCACAACAACATGGGCAGGAAGGGGGCAGCAATGGCAAAGCTACGCCCGAGCTGACCGTCATGCATGTCGCACGAGGACTGCCTCTCGCCATGACGTACCTGCAGTCGTTGCTGCACACCAACAGGATCAGCTATGGTGTTGAGAGAGCTTGCAGTCGACGTCTTCTTTCCTCCTCCTCCTCCTCCTCCTCCTCCTCCTCCATAGCGCTTCACGCGGTTCGAAGATCTCCCCATGGAAATCCTTTCATCTACTACCCCTACCCCTCTTTTCCGACTCTCCTATATAGCGTTTATCACCCCCTGATGCTGCCCCATGGCAAAGGTGGAAGAGATCGTTTGGGCCGCAAAGGAGGAACAAGAACGTAGCAGGAGGACGAGACACAAGGACGATCTCGGGTGGCTAGCAAGCGATGATGCGCATTGAAAACTGAAGGGAGTCAAACATGGCGGCTACCAGAAAGCTCTTGTGGATTGGTTGATCTGTAACCAGTGAGAGACGGAGATGCTGAGTTCGAAGATCACTTCGTCGGTATGCATCTTCAGAAGGTTCCACGTGGCCGTCATGCAGAGGAGGTGAGTATGCTGCTGTGCTCCCGTCCGCTCGTGCGAGCTTACTTCAGGAGAACCTGACGACCGCACTAGAAACCTTCACTTCTTCTTCGTTGCTGGGGAGCCTTCAGGTGACGTCCTCGGCGCTTCTCTGATCCGATCGCTCCGATCAAGTGGGTGACTTTAGACACCTGCTTCCTGTGATCTCATTCCCTGTCAGAGCATCCCGCTCCTCTGAAAGTGACTGGCATCGGTGGGCCCAACATGGAGAGGGAGGGGCTCGTGAAGACGGCGGACATGGATCAACTAGCGGTCATGGGGTTCTTAGAAGTTCTTCCGCACGTTCCCCGTCTCTACTCCCTCCTGCGAAGAACCATCAAGTGCATTCGCGAGTCCGAGCCAGACTTCGTCGTGACGGTGGACAGCAAAGGTTTCAACTTCCGGCTCATCAAGGCACTTAGGAGAGAACCGAGAGGGAGCAAGACCAAGATCGTGCACTATGTTGCGCCTTCCATGTGGGCAATCAAGGGAGAGCAGAGAGAGAAGAAGATGTTCTTGAGCAGGAACCTCGACCTTCTCCTCGTCCTCTTCCCCTTCGAACAGCAGTACTTCTCCTCCTTCCTTCGGACGGTCTGTACAGGTGAATGCTCTGTGCCTTGTCTTCATCGTCAGTTGTTTGAGAGCAGCGAAGGTCCCCCAGTCTTTGAGCTCGCTGCGATCAGACGGAGAGCAATGCAGGTCACCCCCCTACCTTCTTCGCCCTCAGCTGAAGCAGCAAGCAGGCGCCAGTGGAGAGCACCAGCTCCAGTCTCCCTCCCAGCAAGCAGCAAATCTCAGACCCCGTCCTCCTCCTCCTTCCTGGAAGTCGCGTTCAGGTCTTGGTCTCATCGCACAAGGGCAGCTCGTGGTAATGGGTTCGCAGGAGGTGCGTCAACACTTGCCGATCCTCCTGGAGGTCGTCCGATCGATGGGCAGCAAGGTACTCCCTCCTCTCGCTCAAGTCGACGAGTAATCGACATGCCTCAACGGCAGCATTGCCTTCAGTTTCGAATCCTCACGATCCTTTCAATGAAAGAGCTGGTGGTAACGATGAAGACAAGTGTGCGGAGCTGCAGCATTTGAGCTTGCCGGTCACAGGACAATCTCGTAGAATCGAGAGGCTTGAAGGAATCAATCCAAGTGAGTTGGCTAATACATGTGTCAGATTCCTTTGTCTCGTGCATCTTTTGAGCTCACACTGAAGGATTCGTCAGGTGATTACACTCCTGGACGTCGAGAAGAGGATCGAGCACATGCGTGGTTGTTCAGCAGCAGTTGGTTGTATCCCTTCTGATTTTCCTTCGAGTTCTCATTTGAGTTCCTTGCTAGCTGTTTCCGGAACTGTCACTCTTGAACTTGCAGCTGCAGATGTGCCGAGTGTTGTCATTTATCGCTCCAACATGTTTACACAATTTCTGGCGAAGGTGATCGCGGTCTCGATTGGTTCACATCAAGTTGACTAACTATTTTCACAGCGACTGGCTGCAGTTGAATTCATCTCCCTACCGAATCTTCTGCTTGGTGTGACGTATGAAAATATCTTGTGCTGCCGCATGAAAAGGGATGGTCAGGTCAAAGACTGCTTCCAGAGCTGCTGTTTGGGGCATGCAATCAAGATGGTATGGATGTTTTCATACTCGCAAGCATGATTAGGTCTACCAGACATCGAACATGAGGCCTGCAAGTTGCTGTTTGACAAGGCAGAGCGGAAATGTAACATGGATATTTCATCTTAGAGATTTATCGCTATTTACATATTTAGCAGGTGTTCTCGCAGGCTACAGCAGAGTCATGAAAATCGCTTGCCCCAGGACCACCGCAACCTGTACAAATGAAGAAAAGTTTCCTGAGGAACAGAGTCCTTCTATGATAGCTGCTACCGCAATCTTACAGTTACAAAACGAGAGCTCAACAACTTAAAATGTGAGAGGATGTATCCCATCAATCTTCCAACATATCGCAAGCATGATTCTCATGCCTTTGGGACCAAGCGCTGTTTCGAACCGTGCCATGCAGACGTACCAGAAGGGATCGACGCAGAGAACTCAGTATCACATCAGTCAGCCGTTGGATCGGAGTATTTCCATCCCAGGTTGTCCTTGAAGTATGCGGGCAAATTCTCCTCCTCGATCCAACTGTTCTGGTTCGATGGGTATCCTACCCACTTCACGAGATACTCGCTCTTCCCACCCTCTGTCTTGCGGATTCCCACGACTGACTCTACCTCATAGGCCAGGCTCCCGTCCGGGAGCTTCAGAGGGCGAGGAGGCGGCTCGTTCTCCCTCGGCATTCGCGATGTTCAAACCAATGTAAAAACAGTGGCCTTGGCCAGCAGAAAGCGTCTTGTGGAGCTGAAAACTCTTCAGTTGTTGAATTCAGATGCTGATCCTTTCCTCGTGATTGCGCTCTTCATCTCTTCATCTATCACATGCGACAAATGTGCGAAAATCAAGGAATGGACGTCGCAGTCCTTGCAAGAATAGAGGATCAATCGATGCTCTTGCTTTTCTTTCCTGTTCGTTCAGAACGAGATTCCGCAAGAAAGAGACAAGCCTGCCTGGAGCAAGCAAACGGTGGAAGCTGAGATGCCCGGTGTAGCTACGTATCCACACGAGACCAGTCGGGAGAGAGCCTGGCAACCCTTATCACAAGTCGAACAGCATCTAATGCTGTCAGGGCAAAGGTGATCACAAGCGAGAGCAGAGGGATGGAAGAAGAACGAGAGCGTGCGGAATTGGAATGGGGGAGGGGCGGGGACGGGGGACGGGGGACGGGGGACGGGGGCGGGGGCGGGGGATTGGAGGGCAGCTGGAGGAGCTTCGAGATCCCAGAAGTAATCAGGGGGGGTGGGGGTGATAGAAGTAGAGCTATGTAGCTATAGGGGGTAGGGTTTCGGAAAGAATGAGCGATGAGGTAGGGTAGGTACTCATATGAGGCGGGTAGGGGTGGGGAGGCAAAAACAGACATGCAGTGCGGGGGTAAAGCGGGGGTGGATCTTAGGGGTACTCCGAGGGACCAGAGGGGTGGGTGGAGTCATGTTCGGTAAAAACTTCTGTGGTAAAAACTTGTTGTGGTAAAGACGTACGGGCGGATTAGACATCTATGGGTGGGGGTTATATCAGCACCCGAGAGAGCTAGGGTCATCTCTCAGCAAATAAGAGGGATCAGGTAGGGTGGGTCATCAAATTCTTGTGCAGGGAGGGCGTTCAGTTTGAGGTGATTTATTAATCACGTATAAAGGTTTTTTTAGGTGCAAACAGTGAGGTGGGGTGGGGTGGTGTCAGGAAAAAAGGGGTGCAGCAGGAGATCGAAGGAGATTTTCTAATAGAAGGAAGGGGTACTGGTTCGAGATTTGTGGGGTGGTTGGATGGTGAGTGGGTGGTGGGGTCATCTATAGGGGAGGTCGAGGGTCGATAATGGTTCCTTTCGGTACAGAAATGAGAGAAAAAAAAAATCTTTCGATATGAGAGTCTAACCCACCCCAACCCCCTTCTAAACCCCCTAGGACCCTCATTTTCAGACAACCACAAACTAGGTTGCAAACGGGACACCACCCCACCAGGATTCAATGAAGATAGAGGGGGTAGCTTTTTGTAATAGGGTGGTGTCAGCTTTACTTAGATTTTCCGAAGAGGTAGAGCAGAGTCAGGAGGTGTAGTATTGCTTCTACCAGTGTGCACTAGTCGGTATGTGGAGGCATCGCTCTGACTGAAGGTAGACTTTTCTCTCTCTGTTGGTACGGCTCTGCTGTCAACAGGGGAACGCAAGTAAGTCACGGGAAGGGGAGCAAAGGCCTTTCTTTCTCTTTGATCGTCAGGTTAGACTTGAAAGCTGGGCCTGTTGCTACTTTGTTCAGAAGCGCTGGCCCTACTGCTTTCTCAAACACTAGAAATCTGTGCTCAAGTTGATAAGTGTGACACGTCTAGTCAGATGCATCAGTCTCTCCACCTCAGACTGATGAGATATGTAAAATGGTTTCATCCATGCTCCGACACCAGCTGATCTGCAGCCTTGCTTGTAATTTGAGATTACCTCTATGTCCGCCCCTCGTTGTCGTGTGATAGGTTTCTATAGATTCCTTTCATTAAAACACTTCATCCGCACTTCAATTAACAGTTTACAGCCATATGGTCAGCAATCTCAAAACGATCAACTGAAGGAAGGTGACAGCAATCCCCATGACAATCTGGGTCTGTTCTCTCGTGAACAGCTCTCCACGTACTTCCAGGAAGGTTTCTTCTAATCTCCCAATCTGTGAATGGCGTCAATCAAGAAATGAAGGCGCAAGGCAGCCTCGAACCTGGTGAAACATTGATTGATCCTCAGAATGATTGCGCTTGAAGAAATCCAAGTCCTTGCATATCTTCATTGCCTGTTGAGCCAGGAACGAGCTTTCACTCCTGACGCCACCTTCTCTCTTCGCACTCACAGTTTCTTCTCGCTCCGTCAGCCATTCGTTGTGCAACGAGTCTGACCGGGTGTAATCCTCAATCATCTTTTCAATCCTCTCCAGCTGTACGCGCCCAACGTCATCATCCTGACAGCGAGTGGTCAAACTTAGTCAACCGACATCTGTCCTCTGCTCACAGGATCCGCGTCCTTGCCTCTCCAGGTTTCCGGCACGTCGAGCTTCACCCGCAGGTTCAGGCATGATCGATGCCCCCTCGCGTCCTACCTGCACTTAAGTGCACACAACACCTTGAAAGAGAAAGAGACCTTGAGAATTCTGTTGGTGTCGGGACACAGCAGATAGACGACGAAGCTTGTTTCTTGGAAGCCCGTCGGGTCGGCAAGGTAACCCTGCAGCATGTCGCTCACCTTGATCTTACAGGACCCAACCTTCCTGAGATTGAGAATGGTCAAGAGAAGCAGAAAGACAGAGCAAGGCTTCACTTGGAAGTTTGCGTCATTTGCCTTGATCGCAATGTGATCTGCAAGTGTAAAGTCTCCGCGTGCCCCATGATGGCGAAGTCAAGCTTCTCATCCCATGTGGGAGGCTTCGTGATGGCTGGCTTCGTCTTGAACTTTCTCACCACCTGCTGAACATCAGCTGGGAGGGAAAGGCAACCAGCTGCTTCGCCTGACCTCCACGGGGCTGTGGAGCGAGATGGAGAGGAAGGGCTTCCTGATGTCAACATGCTCGGCTTGCAGCGTGACAAGGTGGAGATGCCACTGGAACATCGCGAGTCGCTTCAGAGTCTGCTCGAAGTTGCCTGGAAGCTTGGTCTCATCGCCGAGGAAGGGATTCAAACTTTTCATGTCTAGAGAGGCAGCCCAAGTGAAGGAGAGAAAGATAGAGGTCGACTGTAAGACCCGTCAGACATGCTCCACAACAAGACCTGCTCCCTCACCTTCTTGTCGTATCCCTTGACTGTTTTCCCCCTCTTGTCACGGAGCTCAAACTTCAGCTCCTGATTCTGTGCACTGATGGACGACAGGTGGATGGTCTGCTCGCCGATGAAGTCATCCTTGCTCCCGGTGTCTCTGTCCCAGGCGCTGATGTAGATCTCAGCTGAGCTGCGAACAGCATCCCAGCGGAGAGAATCATTCCACTGAGCGACAAGTCAGCCCCCAACCCCAACTGCCCTATCCATCACCTCCCCATGATACCCTGTGATGCAGCTCGTCCGATACTCCTCCCCTCGCACCTGGACGCGTCTCAGTCTGGCGAGGTCAGAGCTGCGAGCTGGGAACCTTGATCTTCAAGTACGCGTCGCAGGATCCCATCACGTCCATTTTCGGCATGCTGCTGAACCTCAGAGCTTTGATCTCCAGATCGAACTTGTCGCTCGCGTGCGGCTCCTGGTCCTTGTCTGATTCATTTACGTCCTTTTCACTCAGAAACGTCAAGTGAGCTCGAATCGTCGTTGCCTTCCCGTCATGGCCCGTCACAATCTTCCCGTCGTCATCGCGCAAGTTGAGGACGATCTCTGACGGCTTCAGCCTCACTTGCGACAGCGACACGTCAGTCTCTCCTATCTTCTCTGCTCTTGACAGCTGGTTCGCGTCGTACAAGACAATCTGTCGGGACGTCAAGCAGGAAGGGAACAGGAGGCGAGGGATGGGCGTACTCGAATTCTGTCAGCCGACGAGGCGTCGGGAAAGTGAAACTCTTGGTTGAACTCAGCCGAGTAGCAATTCTTGACCGTCCGCGACTTCTGTACTGACCCGTCCAACTCCATCTCGATGAAGGGGTCGCACTTCCCGAAGGTGTCGGTCTTGGGCCTTGAGAATGGGTCATCGCGAGCAGGAGCAGGAGCAAGGTCAGTACAGGCTCTCGACGCCGTGAAGGAGGATGTTCAGCGCTTCTCTCCTCTTGTTCGCAGTCTCTGCGTTGCTGGGGTCTTCCTCGATCACGGGCTGCTGCTCCCTGAACTCGAGAAGGAGGAAGACTTTGCCGCTGCTGGCCGCACCGTTTAGGTGACACTCGAGTCTCCTCTGGCTGGACTGCGCGAAGGAGGGCAGGCGAACTTCGGAGGTGCCGAGTTTTCTGTCCTTGCCGAATCTTTCCTCGTCAAAGACCTGGGAGGAGGCAAGTGAGGGGGGAGGGACGAGCAGGTCGAAGTCACCGCAAGGCTGAGGATCGACTCGCTGGCGGTGCAGGAGAACTCGAAGGTCTCGTTCCAAGTGGGCTCGAGGGTCTTGTACCTCGTCCGCGACTGGAACGTCTGGCCGTCAACCGACAGGATCACGTAGGGGTCAGTGCTGCGCATCAGGGCGTCGTTCTTGGGCAGGCGCTCGGCGCTCTCCAGGGTAACTTTGAGGGTCCCGCTCCTTCTCGAGATCGTGCTGTCGAGGAGGCTGAAGCTCTCAGTCGCTTCGCTCGAGCCGAGGAGAGGGAAGCTCTCTTGTATCGGGAACATGTCGCAGGTAAAGGTGAGGGTCGTGACGCTGCCGTTGTGCCCGATGCATGGTTTGTGCTCCCTTTGCAGCGGGAACGACTTGTCTTGCTTCAGGTATGACTTCAACTCCCCCACGGGCAGATGCAGGCTGCCGACCAACTCATCTTTCCCGATCCTGTCCCAGTCCCACACGGTCAACACCAGATCTTCACTGTCGTCGCAGACTTCGAACTCGAACGTCTCGTTCCACGTCGGGTCGTAGTTCACCTTGCAGATGCGCGACTCTCTTCTCTGCTCTCCGAGGCACATCTTCACAAACGCGTCACATTTCCCTGCTCAGCTGTCGTCAGCTACAACTTCTCCGCCAGCGCTTCTCACCGAACACGTCCATCTTGGGCAGATTCCTGGCAGCCTTCAAGGTGAACTTCAGCAGACGTCGCTCGCCCTGCCCTGCCCTCTCCGCTGCCTCGATCGCCTGACTCTCACTCGCTCCGTTCCCGACAGGTTCACCAGGAGGGGCAGCAGCGGCTCCATCGGCATATTCCGTCAGCGGTAGATCACGACGAGGAGAGATGCGAAGGTGCAGGCTGGTGGTCTCGCCGTCGTGTCCTCTCAGCATCTCAGGCTTTCCTTCTACCGTGAAGTTGAGCTCCAGGTCCTGGGTCGCTGCAGCAAGCTTCCCCACGGGCACCCTGATCCTCCCGACCCGTTCGTCTTTGCTGAACTTGTTGGAGTCGAAGAGCTCGACGACGAGAGACTGCGAGGGGTTGTCGACGTACAAGTCAAAATCCTCGTCAAAGACCGCGTCATACGTTGACATGCAGACACTCGTCTCCACCTTGTTCTTCCCACACGTCAGCACGCAGTAGGGATCGCACTTGCCGAAGGTGTCGGTTTTGGGGAGGTGGAGCAGTTGCTTCACGTGCACTTTGATCCAGTACGGGGCAGAGAGAGTTTGTTCAGCTCCGCCCTTGACGACAGTCCTCGGGTCGTCCCCTGCTTGCTTGCTGGTCAACTGCATCTCGGTCTTCACCATCTCAGCTTCGTGGCTGATCTTGTTTCTCAGCTCCTCGATCTCCCTGCTGTTTCCGGGGTCATATGAGATCGCCAACTCTACGACAGCTGGTTTGCCGTCCTCGCCCAGCAGGGGGCTGTCATCAAGGCATCGGAGCTCATAGCGCTGGTCGACTGAGACGGTCTGAGCGATATCTGCAAGGCTGACGTGCAGCTGCCCTACAGCCCTGTCGCTGCGTCGGAGCTCCCAGTCGAAGAGAGTGAGGATGAGGACGGGAGAGGAGGCGGGCAGGGAGAGTTCAAACGACTCGTTCCACTCAGGGTGCTGCTGCCGCTTCACGATCCTCGTCTTGTGCGTCTCATCCCCGAGGGTGATCACGCAGTAGCCGTCGATCCATCCCAGCGTATCAACCTTGGGCAGATTCTCAGCTCTCTTCACCGTCACTGCCACTCGAGGCCCGGCGCCGCTCAGCTTCAGCTGGGATATCTTGACTCGGAGCTGCCTCTCGAGCTCGTGCTGTCTCTCCATGTGCTCCTGGGCTGCTAAGCGATGCTGCTCCTGCTCCTGCCTCGCCTGCTCGCGCGCCGCCTGCGCCTGAGCGTCGAGTGACTCCTTGGTCTCCACGAGCTCTCGCGAGATGTCGGAGATCAGCTGTTCCTTCTCCGACAGCTCCTGCTGCTTCTCCTCCTCGAGCATTGCCGCCTGCTCTCGCAGCAGAGCTGACTTCTCGACTTCGTAGTCCCACTGGTAGAAAGCCTTCGCCATCGCCTGCTGCTGCCACCTGCCCATCCGTCAGACCCCAAGGCAACTCGACAAGTCCGATGAGACTTCACGCGTCACCTCCTCAAGATTTTACTGCCAAGGCCAGTCTGACGCAAGTCCTTCATGCTTGAGATCCGAGCTCGCTTGTCTCCCTCACAGCCGATCAGACTCTTCATGTAAAGTTTCTCTGCCTCCAGCTCGTTCGTCCTGCCTAGAATTGAAACCTTGGTGAAGCATCTTGCGAGCCCGACGTCAAAGTTTGCAACGGAGTCACTGACGAATTTCACAATCTGCTCTGCTTCCTCCCTCGTACTTCCCTTGCACATCAGCTGTAGCAGCACGTAGCTGTGCTCAGGAGAAAGATCCAAGACAGTGATATCTTCTCTCTTGCATCCCGTCCGAGACGCGAGCAAATCGAGCAAGTCGGTGATGGCAGAACCAAGTTCCAAGTCTGACTTGCTGTGATGTCGCAACCAGAACTTGTCGAGGCTCAGGCGGACGGCAAAGCTTTTCAAACAAGGATCGAGCCTCAGTGAGCTGGCTCTGTCCTCGTCCGAACCAGCCAACCTCTCCACTCGCACATTCAGCCGGCACTGTGCGTCAGGAGCAGCCAGTGCCCCAGCTAGTCGCAAGGAGACTGATCGATGGCTTTCATGCGCGAGAAGCTCATTGACTCGCACGCGATGGGACCCGACTTGAAGGCGAGAAGTGTCAGAACAATGATACACGGTCAGCACGACCTCCTCTTGGACATCCAGACAAGAAACGTCAAAGGCTTCGTTGAAGATCGCTCGCCCCTCCACGCGTTTGACAGTGCAGGTCTGCAGGCTGCTGGTCACAACCAAGAGGCAGAAAAGATGTCAAGATCACCTTACACGTGGCAGACTTGGAGGAGACGCAAGCGAAGACGTAATTGACGTCGGCATGTCCTGGCGAGGGGAGGTACTCCACATCCTTCACGTGGATCCGCACACAAGCAACTTCAAGGCGGCTGATCGTCCTCGACAACTTGTCGACGAGCTGCTTCAGCGACTGATGTACTCGGTGCCTGAAAGGGTCTTCACCCGCATGACCAGGAGCACTCCTTGCGGAACCATCTTGGAGCAGCTTGATTGAGACTACAAGCGATGCCAACCGATTCTTCTTGTCTGTCAGCGGCAAATGTTCGCTCACGTTCAGCTGCAGCCTGAGGTCGTTCAATTCACTTTGTGCTGACAGGAGAGACGTGTTGAATTCAGCATATCCCACCACGGTGTTCCTGCCTAACCTATTCCGGTCCTTCACGTCAATCCTGACAACTTCTGGCGCTTGTGAGTTAGCTCGTTCAAGAATGAAGGTCTCATTGAAAGCTGGGTTTGCGTTGTTTCTGACCACTTTTGTCTTGTGGTGAAAATTGTGATGGTCTATGACACAATATGCATCAATGTGCCCGAACGTATCGACCTTGGGCAAATTTTCTGCTGATTGGATGGTGAGATAAATTCTTGAAGTCTCGGTAGATTGTGAGTTGAGCTGACAGCGTCAGGCGTTCAGTGCTGCTAGGACGAGAGTCGAGCTGTCTCACCTCTGACGCACTGACAGGCTGCAGGGAGCTGAGCAGGGTCTCCAGCTGCTGCTTGATATCGAACAATCGCAGGAGGGAGCCTGCGAGATGATGAGGTTTGCGATGAGAGGTGAGAGCCGTCAAGACCTTGCCCCTCAGAGCTCTGCTCCCATCCCCCGCGATCACATCGAGACATGAACGACATAAGTTCATTCCTGCATCAGGTACAGTGACGGAATGGAGACAAACAGACAGCAAAGCAAGGCTTGTACATCTTTCTTTCAAGAGCAACGGCTCTGCTGCTTTCCGTAACACCGTCGGTTTGAGCATCTTGATCGCAAGTCGGCTTAGATCGCGACGAGAAGTCGATACGACAGGCCTCAGTCTGACAAGGCTGGTCGACTAGACTCCTGCAAGCGAGTCAAACCAGCATGAGCTGCCGATGTCAAACTCGGACCTCTCGGGCGGTGGACGAGGATGAATATCTGCAGGAGAAGCTCAGGGATCAGTCAGCATCATGGTAGGCTACCTCGTTCACAAGGAATCGAGAAATACATGGAGCTGTCGTCAGGAGGCGAGTGCTTCTTGAGATGACTAGGTGACCGTGAGCTCATTGTGTGCCTCGAGTCTCAAAGCTTGCCTGACTTCTTCTCTCAATGAGAAGATCTGCAGATGAGCTTTCTTTGCCTCAGCTTGAGCAGCAGCAAGCTGCATGTGCAACATCTTGTTGTCTTTCTTTAGTTGTCTGCATTCTTCTGAAGTGTCCATCTTCTCTTTTCAGCAGGATTATCTCGGAAATATCTCACTTCAGATCGCTGTAATCAAGACATTACACGTGGATCTAACAGCCCTCACATCTCCTCTCCCTCCTGTAGTGAAGGCTCATCTCATCTCCCTCCTGAGTGAAAGCCTTCACTACAGGACGAAGGACAGCAGGATCCTGTCATTCATCGTCACTATGGAGACATTCGAAAGCATGGTATCTGACTCGTTCTAGATTTCACCGCAAGACATCTCATTTTCTGCCGATCTATGTTGAAGATTTACTCTTTTGCATTCTCTTGAAATCCCTTCATCTCTGTCTCAATGTTTGTTTTACTCTTTGCTCCTCTAAATCCTCCTGTCTTGCACTCAGCCTGCCACTTTCTTGGTGTGCGACAAGTGTTGCTTCGACGATCACAGCATCGCTACGTGTTTTACAAGACACGTAAGCCTCTCTTGTTCTCCCCCTGATCTTCTCGTCTCCTCAATGCGCATGTCTATCCTCTCTCTAAGCGCTGAGCGCATGGCCCTAAAAGTTCTGCTGGAATAACGTCATTGCCCCAGCACCCCTCAATCTCGGTACAACCAACGACATCAATGGGGGGTGGGTCATGATTCCTGATCCACCCCTTCCCCAGTCGGAACTGGCCCCGGCGGTCACTCAACTCACTCACTGCCCCCGGCCCACTCAGGGCCCGCCCGGCCGCGGGGCACCGTCCATCACTTGGCCCGGGGGCAGTGGGGCCCGCACCCGGTGACCGGGACCGTACTCAGTCCGGGCCGGGCCGGGATCGGACGCCAAAGTGAACTCAGTAACGTTGTAACGGTCATGATATCGCGCCACAGCTCCACCTTCCCGCCCTCCCCTCGTCCTCTTCCTCCCCCCCTCCCCCCTGCTCTCCTTGACGTCTCCAACCCCCCAACCACCTTCGCACCCTCAACGTCTCCCTCGCATCCTCTGCTCTTCCTCTTTCCACCCACACCTTGATCTCCCTTGCCACCTCTCCTCACCATGCTGCCCTCTCTTGAATTCTCTTGAACATTGTGCTCATGTGGTAACCTTAGCTGGTGGTTTTCCTTCCTGTCGCGCCTGTCTGAGGCCGGCATTTCTCCTACACGTGTTTGATTTATTACTTCGTGCCCTCTGTCTTTGGATTACTTCTGTTTTGTTTTCTCTTTCGAGCGCAGCCAATACCTGTCAGCACACTCCAATGTTCACTGTCTCTCATTGAAATTCTGATACCTCCACTTGTTTCAGCGCCGTGGACAGCTGTTGACCCTGACACATCATCATCTGTCGTCTATCTGAAGGGAACACGCCCATCTGCAGACTCGTACTGTGATGATTTAAGTACTCTGGGATGGAGATAGACCTCGGAAACATTGGAGTGGACGAACCGGTTCCACCCCCGCTCCCTGTGGCTAGCGAGGCTCCTCCTCTCCCACCCCCTCCTCAGTGTATCACCAATGTAGTCGAGCTATGCAACATCCAGGAGCTGACGATTCGGGGCTTCATCGCGAACTCCGAGGATGCAGTCCTGCTTGCCTACAAGTTCTGCTTGCTGGATGGTGGCTTGGCATGCTGTTGGCGTTCCAAGTTCCAGACAGAAAATGCAAAACTCGACGGTTTGTTTCCCTTTGCTGTCTACTTATCTTTCAAGGCTGAGAAGTTTGTTCAGGTCCTTTAACGCCTGCGAGTCCTGGACCAGCGGCACAACTGACGCATGGTGATGCACATGCGTGAAACTGATATTTACTGACGGAACTGGAAGGCCCTCATGGTACCGTATCAGGGATATCTCCTGCAAGGCCACTTGTTGGCCAAGCTGGATCAACGTTGAACCAACAACAGACGTAACAGTTCGCATGTGCGCTGATTTCCTTCTTGTGACATATACGTGTGCATAGCAGTAATCCTTTGGCCGAGAGCAAGTTGATCAACGCAGAATTGCAACAAACTTATGAGCTTTGGTTGTTTGGAACCGAAAAATTACAATCCAGGTGATATCCTTTGCAGTTGTTGTTCAAATTTGCTTTGTTGATGAACCTGCCGTTCACTTGTTTCGCAGGGCATTTGAAGATGGAAGTGAACTCTTCAAATCGATACAGGTTTGCTGCAGCTGCCTGATACTTGGAAGAATAGCATAATTGTTGCACTTGCACAGGAAACGATTCCAATCACTCCTGTGGAGACAGCACTGTCCAGCGTGCCAGAATGTTTCGTTCTTCTAAATGATGCTTTCGTGAACAGAGCTGAGAGGTATGTCTGAATGATTCCCCTTGAATTCAAAGTCAAGACGTTTCCTGGATATTCTCTTAATCAGTATTTTTGCCCAGATTGTTGCTGGAAGCTGGATACATACGTCTAGGGGACAGCTTTGTTCCTCAAATTCAGGAGCGATTTCACCAATTCGCATTTTCCCCGTTACCTGGCATCCACCTGAATTGCTTCTTGAGGTATGCTTCGCCTGAATTATGTCCACTAGCGTCTGTGACATTCTAAAAGGAATACAACCCTCATGGCATGTATTACCATTAAGATGAAGCGCATCCAGGTTTCTTGTGCTTTTTTGAATTGTGTGTCTCACTCGTTCTTGCGAAGCATCTCGGCGATGCTGATTCATATTTGAACCAACATCCTTCGGGATTGGATGTACTTGTCAGCCCCAAAGGCATGCCTGGAGTTCTCAAGATGACAAGACCGTCCCAATCCAATAATGCAGAGCACGAGGTTTCTCTTCTGCCTCGAGAGTCTTTGTCATGACATATCATTCCCAGTCGGTCTTGAACGAGTGGGAAAAGTTAGGAAAAAGTCCCGCAATGCTGTCTGCTAACCAAGTCGAAAGGGTTTGGCTGCATGTCATGCTTCTTTTGGGATATCTAATGCTATCTGAAGGTGGTTACTGTGGAGGTAGATGGTGAAACTTTCCTTTACCCTTCGAGTCGAGTTGTTCGACTTTCGCCGATTGGCATCGCGCCCGCCCCTCATTTGGATCATATCTGGCTTGGCATACCCGATCAGGTCTGAAAACGGATGAGATAACTTTGTTAAGCATGACAAGTAAGCATCGTAGGCATGGGCAAATTTTTCTACCGGCAAAAGCGCCATGAGCACCAATGCTGTCAAGAGCCTTTTTACATTCTTGAACAGTCCCAAAGGGGGTCACTCGGACTATAGTTTGAAATGTTCGCCGGCGTTCAATGGCTACTGGGTCTTCGCAGGCATTTCTCAGGTGCTGCTTGTCGCATATTACGCAAGTCAAAAATCATGATGCTGTGCCAGGATTGCATTATGAAGCTCTTAAAGTCTAAGAAGCCTGCCATTGAAGCGCAAGGTGGTGGGATGGCTGCTGATGATCTCGGTCTGTTGATGCTCTACAAATATCCAAGTTGATTGACAGCGATTTCGTGAAAACAGATAAAAATGGCAAGAAGATCGGAACTCCAAACAACAAGAGAAAGAACGCTCCAACACCGGTAATCATGCAAATATTGTCCTCATTCAAGTTGAGCTAATGACATTCTGCAGGTGACGATCCCAACGCCAACTCCGGCACCAACAGGTGTCCCTACAAATCCCACGCCTCCATCCAGTAAGAGGTCGAAGAAAGGTGCAGTCGATTACTATGTGTTTGTTATGAGTTTGAAGGAAATGATCGCAGAAAATGGGCAAGAAGTTACTCCGACATCTGTTGCTCCTCCTACAGGACCTGGATCAAAACCAGGCGCGCCAGGGGTCCAAACAGCGGGTGGTCCCAATGCACCTCAAGCGGTCAACGACGGTGTGGAAGTTTTGGCTGTGGGTGGAGTCAATGCGCAGGATGCAAACAAGAAGGGTCAGAAGAAAGCTGCAGTGAAGAAGGGAAAGAATGCCAAGGACGTCACTCCACAGGCAACACCTGGGCCAGGGGAGGCGAGTGGAAGTGAAACCCCCCTGTCTGTCATGGGAAGCACCACTTCCATGCCGCCCCTTCCTGGTGGCTTGGCTTCCCCAAGACTGAACGCACAAGGAAGAAGTTCAGAACGGGGCAACGATGTGAAGGGAAATTTCATCGACGTGGATGACATGGCAACCAATGCAAGGGTGGACATGGATGCCTCAGAGCTGATGGACTTTGGTGAGTTGGACGACATGAGGGAAATGACTGAGTTGGAGAACGAGGATTTCGCATCCTTCTTTAGTCCAGAAAACAAACCTAGCAAAGGGGATCACCTTGATGATGATGACTTGCGCGGAGACTTCGAGAGTCTTGATGACTTGACAGCGAATTTTGCGTCCACGCCAAGATCAGGTCAAGATGTGGCAGAAGTAAGGAGGGTTGATGGAAGCCTGGAAGACATCTCAACCATGTCCCTTGACGCTGAGCCGCTACCACAACAACCTCCAGAGGTTGTCGAAGAAGACCCTAAACTCAGTGCCGTCGACGAAGAACAGCGACGGAAGGAAGATGAAGCTCGTGATATCGAGGTTCTATCGATGAAGTTGAACATGTTACCGCCAGTATCACGTAAACCAGGGCTGCTCTCCTCTTTCAAGCGAAATCTTTCAGGGTCAAATTTGTCGCAGGGGATGTTGAAAACGTTTGGCATCTGCTATGGTCCTTCTACCAGTCCAGTCGTCTCAGTCGGGTGTGAACTCACACGAAAGGAGGACGAAGATAAGAAAGAGGACATAGGAGAAGCCAAGGATGTTGCGGGAGGCAACAAGGAGAAAGAGGCGAACCCATCCTCTGACGCGGCGTCCGATGTCTCTTCTGTTGGAAATCAAGCCTTGACTGTGAGCAAGAGGGTGGGAATACCTCTTGGCCCTAAACAGTTGAAAATCGGTGGCAACAAGATGATATCTCAGATCTCGACGGTTGAGAGTGCAGTCAAGGCATGGAGGAGCAGCCGAAGTATAGCGATACACACAAAATGTACGCGATGGGCCCTCATGAGAAGGAAGTCAAAGTCGGCGGATGGGATGACAAAGATCCTTCCACTAGAGCACCTCATCATCCAGCAGTTGGCCATCACAAGCTTTGATATGCCCATCTGTCCACCGATCTCGACACCGAATGCACCGAATGCTCCAATGAGCACGCAAGCAGTTCACAATGCCATCATGATGAGGGACCTTATCACCAAGGAAGGCGAGGCGCCTCACTTGAGCTTAGAGCACATCCTCAAAGGAGAATGCGGAGAAGATCCGCGAGTTATGATGGCGCTTGATCCCCTCTGCAGTGTCACACATCCTGCTTTTGTTGCTTCGAACCTCTCTAAAATCATTCCTGCCTTGGACAACCTGGTCCCACGATCGCCGGATGAACGTAACAGCGACCAGAAGCTTAACCCTATGAGCCTCCAAGCTCTCTTATGGAACCCCAAAGACAATCTTGATGACGTGGTGGAGTCACTGCCAGTTCCTAATCTCCTCGTTGGGTCGTCTGACGGTGACTGGATAGAAACGCCACCAGTTGCAGTCCGATGGTGGGAGAAACTTCCCCTGGAGCCTTACTCGAAGAAGAAGGATGTGGTGTACTGCGTTCTTTGCGCCTCAGCAGATCAGCAAGGAACAGCATCGACAGAGGCCTCTCTCTTCTTTAAGGAGCTGAGCTGTGTGTATGAATCAGCGCATCTTGGCAACCACAGATTTCTTGAATCAAGATACCTCACTATGATGGCTGCAGGGACCAACTACAACAAGGAGTATAAAGAGGGTATCGTCCTGGTCAACGGCCTTGGAGCGACGAAACCTGCCACTCCTGCTGCTGTAAACCCTACCAAGCAACCAGGCAGCTTCGAAGAGGCCTGTGCAAGGGCACTCAAAGGCTTCGCCCAATACTGTGATGAGAGGAACGGAGGCGCAAATGCGATCACGAGCAGCGCCAAGGTAGTCCCTGTATTATATATTCTAGAGCCCGACTTCGCTCTGGGAAGCACATGGAGTGGGTCTCGTTCTGACCAGCAAAACTCTCTTCCCTTCAAAGCTCGTCACCAGTGGAAGCGAGCTCTTGCAAGAACGCTCTCCACAGCTGCGGCGATGCATCCTCGCCTGCTGGATGTTGTGGTGCAGACTGTGCCAGCACAGAGAATCAACATGGGCAGGCGCATGCGATGGTTCCTGAGAGACCTGGCGATGTCGGTCTACTCCAAGGGTCGCATCAGGCTGAGGACGAAGCCAGAGAGGGTCTCGAGCTTCGCCGTCGACATCGAGGAGGAGATTTCTCACTTCTTCTCTGGCTCTGCTCTCACCCTCAAGAAGAAGATCCGGGTGGAACCAAGGCTCTATGAGCCTCTGCTCGTAGTTGCTGAACCTCAGTCCATCGAGGCGCCGGCTCCCCCGATCGAGAGCAGCATGGGTGACATTGCAGAGCAGGTGCTGAAGCCTGAGGGCCTCCCTGTGCCAGACAGCGTGATGGCGCTCGAAGACAGGCCAGCAGCTCCCGGTCCGGAGCCTACGAATGCAGAGGGGATGGCGAAGATGGAGGACGATCACGAGCCAGCCGTTCAGCCTCCGGTGCTCCACTGCTGCTACTCGTGGTCGGATGACGGTCTCTGTCTGGGGGCTGCGATCACTGACTCGACGGGCGAGACGCTCGAGACGTTCTCTGCGCTCTTCGGCAACGTGAGCAACGTGAACTGGGAGCCTGACGAGCGCGTGAGGGAGGCGACGTGCAAGACTATGATCGGGAAGCTTTGGGCCTGCATCGAGGAGTGGGTCAAGAGAAACTACAGATGCAGCGTCCGGCTCATGATCGGGGCGCTAGGAGCGGCAGTTCCCCGCGACATCGAGGACTGGAAGGAGATCTTGGAGAACGCAGGATGCGGCCGTCCGGGCTCCTGCTGCTGCGAGGCTATCGTGCTGCAAGTTTCTGTTCTTCGATCCCTTCAGCTCCTCTCGACGTGAGTTGAACTCGGTCGTGCTCTGTGCTGACTCTCCTCCTCGCAGCTCGTCCATCCACATCAGCAGGGAAGAGATGAGCAAGGGCGACTTCGAGAGCTGGCCGACGTACCCTCACGATCTTGTCAACTCGTTGGATCTGTCAGGTTCAGGTACTTCGCCTTCATGCTCTGCCAGTGCATCGCTCTCTTCTGACTGGGGTCAAGCTCTACATCCAGGGCAGTCCTTCCTGCTGAGGTGCCGGCATCGCCTGGCGTTTCCTCCTGTTGTCCCCAACCTCCAGATGCCTCTAGCCTGCGCCATCCTCGCGAGCCCACCGCCAAGGTGAGGAGACGCTGCGAGCTGCCGCAGGTCTCACTGTAGCACCGCAGAGACGAGGAGGAGGTTTCCTTCCCCGGGTACGACGGGCGCGGGTCCTGGCCTGTGCTGCTCGAACTCTCGCTCTTCGTCCGCGTCGCTCTCAACGATCCCAGCACGGACAACAACGAGCTGGAGCAGCGATATCAATCTCTCGTCGACGAGGTACGCAGCCTCCCCTCCCCTCCCCTCCCCTCCCTTGCCCTCCTGCCAAGTGTCGTGCAACCTTCCCCTTGTTTGGCGTCTGCTGACTTGCGCTGGTGGCTCAGGTCGCCAGGTCTTATCACCTGCTCTCCTGGGCGACGGCGCATCCTTGCTTCCCCATGCGCCAGAGCGTAAGTGAGGAGGTGGCGGCGATGCGCGGGTGACGGCTGAGCAGGCGCTTCCCCTTCACTTCATCGCGGCCAGGCGAATCTCAACAGCCTTGTCGGCGACTCTTTGAGGAGGAGGAGGAGGAGGATGGGCGTGAGCGAGGGGAGGGCGAGTAGCTAGGGAAGAGACAGGAATTAGGGAAGGGAAGAGGAGGAGAGGGAAGGGAAGGGACGAGTATTGTGGTGTGCTGTCATGATCGGAAAATAATAACTTAACAAAAACTCCTCCCCCCCTCCTCCCCTGCTGTCTCTCTCCCCCCCACACTCCCTTCGGAATTTCGTCGATTTCTCTTCACAGTGAGTTGCTCATGTCGGGAACGTCACCGACCACGAGGCCGACCTGCCAACCAGTGAGCGGCTGTGAAGCCAGGCATGCTGGGAGGTAGGAGGAGAGCAGCAGCAGCAGCAGCAGCAGCAGCAGCAGCAGCAGCAGCAGCAGCAGCAGCAGCAGCAGCAGGTCTCTGTTCACCTTTTCTGCTGTCTGGGCCCAGATGTTGTTGGACTGAATGTCGTAACTTCGAGCTGAAAAGAGCATCAGTGAGGGGAGGCAAGGGAGAGCGTGACAAGCAAGAGAGGGAAGAGGAGGGAGGAAGAGGAGGGAGGAAGAGAAGGAAGCGGAAGGAAGCGGAGGAATATGGAACCTGCAGTCAGGTAGATGTTGAGATGATTGCTGTTGAGCTCCAAGAAATTGTTGAGACCATCCTATATCACACATCTCTCATCAGGTCTCCTCCTCCTCCTTATCATCATCATCATCATCACCTGCACGACTGTCTTCGTGTCCCCTGTCAGAGCTGTGTCTGTCAACCCGACCTCACTGGCAGACATGTCTCCATTCTTCACTCGCCGCCAGAGCGTCTGTGAACCTATCATCCCTCCTGCCGCTCCTCCCTCGTGCTCCCTGTGTTCCTCCTGCTGCTCCTCCTCTCTCTTGCTCTGTTTCTCCCTCCCCTTCCCTCCCCTCCCTCCTGCTCCCACCCCTCGTTGCTCTCTCTCACTCTCTCTCTCTCCTCCTCCTCCTCCTCCTCCTCCTCCTCCTCCTCCTCCTCCTCCTCCTCCTCCTCCTCCTCCTCCTCCTCCTCCTCCTCCTCCTCCTCCTCCTCCTCCTCCTCCTCTCTCTCCTCACCTCGATCAGCGCTGTCATGTGTTCCGAATTCTCTGCCGCAGTCTCCAGCTGCTGTCGCAACGAAAGGAAGCGATCGTGAAAAAGGGCATGTGCCCAGTCCTCCAGCAGAAACTTTCTGTGAGACTTCAGTGAGCAAGCAGAGCTTGTCCCCCTCCTCCTCCCTCCGCAGCCATTGGATTCCCTCTCCTTATCCTGCCTCACCCTGTTCCATGTTCCCGCCCTCTCTTCCTCCCCCACTCCTCCTCCTCCTCCTCCTCCTCCTCCTCCTCCTCCTCCTCCTCCTCCTCTCTCACCGCATGTCCTTCACCAGCCCCACGTCGCAGCGGTCGACGAGCTCGTTGAGGTAGCTCACTGACTGGCCCACCAGCCCCGCGAACCTCCAGGCCTGCGGCGTCTCCTCCGCGCTCAACATGGTGAGCGAGCTCATCCTCCCGTACTTGTCCACCTCGACCCGAGCATACGAGAGCTGCGGCTCCTGAACCTCCTGACCCACTCCCACGTCAGAGGAGGAAGGGAGGGGAAAGAGGGAGGGGAGGGGAGGGGAGGGGAGGGGAGGGTCACCGTAACCACGTCGCGGGAGATCATGTCTTCACTGTATCCCAATGGAAAGAGCGCAGGAGAGCTCCAGAAGCTGATGAGATGTTAGGAGAGAGGAGAGGAGAGGAGAGGAGAGGAGAGGAGAGGAGAGGAGTGGAGTGGAGTGGAGAGGAGAGGAGAGGAGAGGAGAGGAGAGGAGAGGAGAGGAGAGGAGAGGAGAGGGGAAGGCAGTGCGGGACAGAGGAGGAGAAGAGAGGAGAGTGGAGTC